TTCATTTGTTCAGAGCAACATCCAGGCTAGATCCCATTGCAAACTTCCCTCCAGCAGAGTCAAGCATTGTTATTCTTATTCATCCTACAGGTTTCCCTCTCTCATCCCTGCTGGTAGTATGATTTTTAATGGAATATTAATGCCATCAGGTTTAGAGGTCTGCTTGGGCCTAATTTTAAAGCCCTATCTTAATTCAACTAGTTCGGAACCAATCCCAAACCGAACTCCAATGTCCCAGATCTATGTGTTTCAAATGAAGGGTTTGCCTACATGAAGAATTAGTTTGTGGCAAACTAAGGTACTGAACTGACCCCCACTCTAGCCTGTTACTGACTATACACCCCGCTGACATCCACACAAGCAATTTGTTAACATGCTTTGATCTAGTCCTCTTTCAAACAGGCTTAGATCAAATTGCATTAACAAACTGGTCATTCATGCATCAGCGGGGTGCTACCCAGACAGTTAGTTGACAGCTGGCTGGTGCAGGATAGGTTCACATCGTAGCTTGCCACAATCTGCCCTCAGTGATAAGAACCTGAATGCTTGCTATACAAGTCACAGCCAACCTAATCCAAACCTGATACTTGTCATTGGGTCCCATTGGGTTTGCATTGGCTATGGTTGTAAGCCTCTAGTCAGGTTTACAACTCATTCCATGCTGACACTTACAGCTTGGTTATCTAAGCCATGCCTGTGCAATTGCAGGTCTAAAAATCACATGTCTATATGCTAGTGTAAGCAATCACATGCATACAAGTTAGTACATATATACCAGGAAATCCTATCTTATCAGCCGATCCAGGCAGAAAGTATAATTACTATTATTTTTAAAGTTTACATACGACAGAAGAGATTAACTTGATGTTCAGATAGTAAAAAAGAACAGCTATTAGTTATGAACTGTAATTAGATCAAGGATTTTGGTGACTAGAACATCAGAGAATGACATCAGATATGTACTTTACATCAAAATGAAACTACAGCCCCTAATTGCAAATCAGTTTGAAAAAGATGTGGGGCATAGATTTTGTTGCAAATTGGTGTAATATAGTGCATATATTCACATATTGCAAAAACCAACAAATGTAGAAAAACTTATCTGGTAGAATTCTCTCATGAGATAAATATTTTTATTTGGTCATTGAGAAATATAGCATTGTTATTGATTATTTCTTCATGTATTTTGAGACAAAAAACATTCTCCTCTGGTTTTAGGGATTAAAAATACCCTTCTGGTAGCAGCAAGTAAGGTATTTTAATTGAGGATTAAATGTAACCATTTATACTTATTCCCAAATTTTGGCCAAAATCCAATACACCAAACCCTGAGCCTGGAATTTTAAAAATGGGTACAATGTTTTCCTTTTGTGTTCTACAAAGTATAACAACATAGTATCAGCACCTTGCCAAGCTGAAGTTTTCCATAAGTAGCACAACATGTCAGCCACTTTCCAAAACCCACAGTAAATTATCTCTATTTTTGTATTCACATTGGAAAGCCAAATTATGCTGCAGCATATTTTCAAAAGGGCATTCTCATATGTTCTGTTTCGTACCTTATATTTTCCTTTACTGTCCTTATTTTTCAAGTTTCTTGGAAAGAATTACCAAGGAATCAGTTTTACTAGATGTATTCTTTTTGATCCTGAATACTGAGATTACACAGACACATTCTTTCAAATGAAACACTCCAATCTAGCTCTTAGGGCTGAGCTTCATTACCTTCTGAGCTCTGGTCCAGCATCTGGTCCAGCCTGAGTAAATGTCTGACATACAGTAGCTTCTCTCTAGTCGCATAAAATGCGATAGGGTCAGATTCTAATATCATTTCTAATAGTGCGCAACATCTTACTCTGACTACACCACATCAATTTCAATGGAGAAAGGCAATACTCAATGTGAGTGAAGAAACAATGAATAGATCTCATGTATCCACTTCTGCAATGGAAAATCCTTTAAGGATCTGAATTTTTATTCTTTAAATGTCATTTCTGGTGTAACAAATATGTAGGATGCTCTACCCTCATTGCAAAGCACAAATACATTCTCAGATAAAAATCTCACTGGATTCCAAATATTAGACCCAACTATAATCACCCATATTAAAATCCAGATTCTGGCCCTCTTCTTCACACTGAATAGCAACCTTACTTTTATGGCAAAAGACCAGCTTGGCTTAACAAGGAGATCTTGCATGATCTCAAAATAAAAAAGGAGTCATATAAAAAATTGAAACTAGGACAAATAAGAAAGGATGAATATAGGCAAGCAACACGGGAATGCAGGGGCAAGATTAGAAAGGGAAAGGCACAAAATGAGCTCAAATTAGCTACAGGCATAAAGGGAAACAAGAAGACCTTTTATAAATACATTAGAAGCAAGAGGAAGACCAAGGACAGGGTAGGCCCACTGCTCAGTGAGGAGGGAGAAGCAATAACAGGAAACTTGGAAATGGCGGAGATGCTCAATGACTTCTTTGTTTCGGTCTTCACCGAGAAGTCTGGAGGTGTGCCTAACGTAGTGAATACAAGCAGAGAGAGGGTAAGTTTAGAAGATAGGATACACAAAGAACAAGTTAAAAATCACTTAGGAAAGTTAGATGTCAGCAAGTCACCAGGTCCTGATGAAATGCATCCCAGGATACTCAAGGAGCTGATAGAGGAGGTATCTGAGCCTTTAGCTATGATCTTTGAAAAATCATGGCAGACAGGGGAGATTCCAGAAGACTGGAAAAGGGCAAATATTGTGCCCATCTATAAAAAGGGGAATAAGAACAACCCAGGAAATTATAGACCGGTCAGTTTAACGTCTGTCCCAGGGAAGATAATGGAGCAGGTAATTAAGGAAATCATATGCAAACACTTGGAAGGTAATAAAGTGATAGGGAATAGCCAGCATGGGTTTGTGAAGAACAAGTCATGCCAAACTAATCTGATAGCTTTCTTTGATAAGATAACGAGCCTTGTGGATAAGGGAGAAGCGGTGGATGTCATATACCTAGACTTTAGTAAGGCATTTGATACGGTCTCGCATGATATTCTTATTGATAAACTAGGCAAATATAACTTAGATAGGGCCACGATAAGGTGGGTGCATAATTGGCTGGATAACCGTAGTCAGAGAGTTGTTGTTAACGGTTCTAAATCCTGCTGGAAAGGGATAACAAGTGGAGTTCCTCAAGGGTCTGTTTTGGGACCCGTACTGTTCAATATCTTCATCAATGATGTAGATATTGGGATAGAGAGTACTCTTATTAAGTTTGCAGATGATACCAAACTGGGTGGGGTTGCAACTTCTTTGGAGGATAGGGACATAATTCAAAATGACCTTAGCAAGTTAGAGAAATGGTCAGAGGTAAACAGGATGAGGTTTAATAAGGAGAAATGCAGAGTGCTCCACTTAGGAAGGAACAATCAGTTCCATACATACAAGATGGGAAGCGACTGTCTAGGAAGGAGCATGGCGGAAAGGGATCTAGGGGTCATAGTGGACCACAAGTTGAATATGAGTCAACAGTGTGATGCTGTTGCAAAAAAAGCAAATATGATTCTAGGTTGTATCAACAGGTGTGTTGTAAGCAAAACTCGTGAAGTCATTCTGCCGCTCTACTCTGCACTAGTTAGGCCTCAGCTGGAGTAGTGTGTCCAGTTCTGGGCGCCACATTTCAAGAAAGATGTGGAGAAATTGGAAAGGGGACAGAGAAGAGCGACAAGGATGATTAAAGGTTTAGAGAACATGACCTATGAAGCCAGGCTTCATGAACTGGGCTTGTTTAGTTTGGAAAAAAGAAGATTAAGGGGGGACATGATAGCGGTTTTCAAATATCTAAAAGGGTGTCACAAGGAGGAAGGAGAAAATTTGTTCCTCTTGGTTTCTGAGGACAGGACAAGGAGTAATGGGCTTAAAGTGCAGCAGGGGAGGTTTAGATTGGACATTAGGAAAAAATTCCTGTCAGGGTGGTCATATATTGGAATAAATTGCTAAGGGAGGTGGTGGAATCTCCCTCTCTGGAGATATTTAAGAACAGGTTAGACAGACATCTGTCAGGGATGGTGTAGACAGATCTTGGTCCTGCCTTGAGGGCGGGGGGCTGGACTCGATGACCTCTCGAGGTCCCTTCCAGTCCTATGATTCTATGATTCACACATGATTCTATTGGAACTGACATGAATAAAGGAAATTGAATGTGGTCTTGAAGGAACCCCGTGTCAGGACATTCAGATACTTTGGGTGTCAAGGAGAATATTTTGAGGAGAGTGTGCACAATGTTTACTTTATGTGGATGTTACATAGCACACCATCACAGCTTACATCAGACTTCAACCAGCATCAGTATTATTTTTATGGGAAGAGGTTACATGATTTAATAATAGTCCAAATGAAAAAAAGTTCTGAATTATCAAGAAATACAGAAAACAAATCAGTACTTTCAATGCTTTGATTTGCTTGTTCAATGCCATGACAGGTAGTGTCCTTATTATGACATGAACAGTCATCACAATCACTACTATGTGCCAAAAGCAAAAAGCCACAATAGGTGTTATCAGATTTTAATAGGACCATATCAGATTTGTTGCTACCACTGTTATATAATTGCAACAAATCATATCTGAAATGTGTCAAGTAAAGTATCAATAGAAACGTTATGATTTGCTGAATTTGATTATGCTATTTCTAAGCATGTTTCATTTTTAATTTGAAGTTATGAATATTGGCTCTATACCTGGATTTCAAATATTTGTTTCTGGGTAGTACCCACAAGGTATTTAGCCAGCACATTTTGAAGGGCTATTGAAGTTAAATGGCTCATCGAGGAACACTTAACTCACAATGGACCATGGGAGACACCTATCTATAGTAAATGGCCTTTCTTGTGAACATTCCATTTGGAGAATAGGTTATGGCTTGTACTTTGACGAAGCAAAATCATGCATGGACATCTGACTTGCCCATGTGACTCCAAACACCATCTTGTTCCCCATAATTTTTCACAGTGAGATTGCCTTCACTTCACGGAAGCTATAAAAGGCCCTAGAAACATATCCATTCTGCCTCTTTCCTGCTCAAACCTCTGGACTATGGACTTACTCTAATGGAAGTTATTCTAACCAAGAGACTGAAGACTTCCCAGTGATTTGGAAGCAACCAGAGCAACCAGTTTATTCTACCACGGCTACAATCCTGAACCAAGAACTTTCAATAATTGTATGTATTTGATTTCTTTAAATAGTTTTAACTCTCACATTTGTCTTTCTTTCCTTTTTTATAAATAAACCTTCAGATATTAGATACTAAAGGATTGGCAACAGTGGGATTATTGAATAAGATCTGAGTTATGTATTCACCTGGATACGTGGCTGGTACTTTGGGATCAGAAGAATGTTTTTGATCATGGTGGGAAAATACTGGCCCATAGGCTGGATCCAGCTCCTGGTGGGCCCCTACTGCTATATTTCCCTGAACCTTCACAGGTACTGGCAATGACAGCTCCCGTTGGCCTTGGATCACCATTCCTGGCCAACAAGAGCTACAGGAAGCAGTGTCTTGGTCCATGTCACTTCCTGTGACTCCTGTTGGCTGAGAACAGTGATCTACTGCCAACATGAGCTGTGATTACTGGTACCTGCAGAGGTTCAGGTAAATATAGTAGCAGCAGCCCACTGGGACTAACCCTGGCAAACTGCCACCATTTTATTGCCCACCCGTGATTTTGTTTGATTAAATTGTTTGAAATAACTCCCAGAATCTTTAAGCTTTGTGTCTGGGTGTTGAATCAAGGACTGGAATGCCAAAGACCTGCTTTTGTGACTTCTTGTTAGCCAGTGTGGTGAAACAGATTACTTTTGTTGCTGATTTGGTCTATCTTATGAAAGAATATCCATCAGTTCTGGGGTGTCTGTCCTCTCTCTCAGCAGTTTGTCCTAAATTAGGTATTCTCCATTGTGACCCACAGAGGCATGGTTACAGTGTATTACTTAGAAAAGCAAGAAACAGCCATTGGAGGGAATCCTGCACCGGAGATAGGGGGCAAAATGGAGCCATCCCTATTCTCAAGTGTCTGCCTGGACCCAGAACATGTACAGAGAGGAGACACACACACACACACACACAGAGGACATTAAGACTCTGGTGGTTCCTCCCCTCTTCTCCCTCCTACCACATTAGAACAATCAGACATCCCAATTGGCCACAACTGTTTCTCTTTTAAGCCCTGCTCCAGCTGTCCTGACCCTCCTCCCCCCAAAAGTGTGCATTTGTCCTGTTTGATGTTGCAGAGTTCCTCTACCCATTTTTTTCAGAAACGTTGGGTTAGGTGCACAGTAACATGCAGGGCAGAGGAGATGATAGCCCCTTGCAGGAAGAGGCAGTGTCCCAGTATATGAGGAGCTGGCAGGGTTACAGCTATTTGAGAAATAGAACCAAGGGTGGATTTTTAGATATGTATGGGGAATTTAGAGGAGGGTGCGACGTGTCTCCTTTCCTTCCTGATAATTTAAACATGAGTGGAGCTAGCAAGGAATTTAGACAAAATAAAAAGAGAGAGATACTCATAGCTAGCTGAAGAGGATACAGAACTATTGCAGCAGGTTTTAAGAGAGATGTGGTGTTGCTTTCTTCATTCAGATATTCCCGATGCTTCAGAAATGAAATCAACATCTCCCTCTCCTGGTCAGTAAAGCAACAATTTTTTACATGCCTTTACTCTCATTATGTCTTGCTTAGTTCTAAGAATTAAAAGCCTCATGCGATTGACTGACACACCACCTTCCTTTTTTCCAGCCTTCTCCCTCCATCCCTCTTTGTTGTGACTACAATCGAGAGAGCATCTTTCACAGCCCTGGATGTTCAGCAAACAATCCATAGCATGGAAAGCAGGACTGAAGCCCTAGCCCAGACTAAGTCAAAGGATGTATTCTGATTCTTACCATTTCACAGATGAAATGGGCTTGTGCAGCTGGGTGCTAGTTTTATGGCGTGAGACATTAACTGCATTGAACCCAGGGCTGGATTGAGACCTTTAGAGGCCCTAAGCACTGAAAAGATTATGGTGCCCCCAATATGTAATTCAAACTAAAAACAATACTATACCATAAAATCTCTTCTTCTTTTTTTCTGGTGCCTCTGCTTTGCTGGTGCCCTAAGCATGTGCTTAGTCTGCCTATTGGGTAATCCAACCCTGATTGAACCACTTGCATTTCAAGCACAGAATCAAACCAGCAGATTACTCAAATATTTAGAGGCAGTGCTAGGAAAATATATGAGGAAAACATTTAGGCTACATCTATACTGCAGGCTTCTTGTGCAAGAACGGCCATTCTTGGGCAAAAACTTGTGGCGCGTCTACACTGCACGTGCGTTCTTGAGCAAGTAAATTTACAGTAAAGCATCGGAACAGAGGGCTTCTTGCACAGGAGTTATTCCTCTCCCCACGAGGTATAAGCCCTCTTTTGTTTTGGAGCCAGATCCACTTCCTCAGATCGTATTCTGGAAGAGAATTGGCATAACCATATATACCAAAAGAATACAATGAAAAAAATATGCACATTATTAAACTGACAAATCAGATTTAGTACAGAAGGTTTGGTGAGGGAGAGGGAGGGAATAGCTATTTATGAGTCAATGAATGGCTAATCAGGGGTGATAAGTGGGGAAGCTATCTTTGTAAAGGTTAAGGTAATTAGCATCTTTGTTAAGGCCCATTCGTTAAGTGTCAAGTTTAAGCATGAAAGAAAGATCTGAAGTTTCCCTCTGTAGTCCAGTGTTAAAGTCTCTTTGAAGTAAGATGCATGTAGTAAGGTCATTAAGATTATGTCCAGTTAGGTTGAAATGAAAAGCAACTGGTTTTTCCTTGTGAAGATGTCTGATATCTGATTCGCGGGCATTAATTCTTTGGCGAAGTGTCTGAGAAGGCTCTCCAATATACATAGCAGAAGGACACTGTTGGCACATGATGGCATACATTATATTTCTGGATGAACAGGAATATGTGTTCTTGATCATATAACTGACATGGTTAGGTCCAGTGATGGTGTCACCAGAGTAAATATGTGGACAAAGTAGGCAACGGGGTTTGTTGCAAGGGAAAGTTCCAGGGTTGGTATTTATGTGGTGTGTCCTGTGGTTGTTGTTAAGAACAACATTATGCCTGACTGAGATTATCATGGCTGGTAGGTTCAGACTTATAGTAAAATACACTGGGCCTGATTCTGATCACGTTTACTCATCATAAATCAGGAGTATCTCAGTTACAGTCAGTGAAGTCATACCAGCATAAAGCCAGACAGAGATCAAATGCAGCATGGCTGTCTCCTCCTCCTCCTTCGCTGTGAGTCATTTCCTTGCCCTTCTATCTCCTAGCTACACTTCCCTTGGGGTATGTCTAGACTACATGCCTCTGCCAACAGAGGCATGTACATTAGACATACTGACTTAGTCAATGAAGAGGGGATTTAAATATCCCCGCTTTATTAGAATAAAAATGGTCGCTGCATTGTGCTGGCTCAGCTGTTTGTCAGCACAAAGCAGCAGTCAAGTCGGGGATCAGTTGGCAAGGAAAGCCTTTGGCGACCGATCCTGTAAACCTCGTTGCACGAGGCAAAAGCGATCAAACTGAGAGTCAGGCCCCAAGTGGGTTGCAAACCTGTTTTCACAGGGTCGCCAAGATTGGCTTAGACTTTTTGGGGCACAAGGCTGAAGCCCAAGCCCATACGCCACTCTCCAGGGCTGAAGCTGAAACCTTGGGTTTCAGCCCTGGGCAACAGAGCTCAGTTTAAAGTCCTCCTAGTTGAGGCTGAAGATTTCACTTGAAGATCTCATTCTCCCACTTGCAGTGGTGGGGTTTGAGTGGGCTCAGACTTCAGTCCCTCCCCCACCCCGGGTTGCGTAGTAATTGTTATCAGAAGGGGTCACAATGCAATGAAGGTTGAGAAACCCTGGTAATCCCTGTACAACCAATAAAGATACTTGATAAAACTGGGATTACCACACTAGTTTGTTTTTCTTCTCCATTTCCACAGATGTTTGAGAGCATGTTATCACAGCAGAGTGAGAATGGGGACTCAGTAGGAAGAAAGTTTGCTCAGTTAAGCACAAAACCAGTTCCAGTTTTGATGGGTACAAAGGCGCCTCAGGCAGAAGAACCAGTGCTATTCCGAAAGAAGCTTGCCGTCTAGACGTAGCCTCAGAAAAATAATGCTTATCTACCTGAACCTGGTGAAATTTAAATATGCAGCAAAGCACAACAAGGAGCTCTTCACTCTGATATTGAAGATAAATTAATTCTACACACAGAAAAGCCATCATCTGACCTCCCATCAGCACATTTTCCCCAAGCCCATATGGTACATGCTTATGACTATTTGTCACTTTTTCCAGGTATAGTAAAAAGTTGATACCTAGACCTACCTCTTATCTTCTAAAAGGATTTTCTCAGGCAAAGCTAATTTTCCTCTCAACCTTTAGATTTTTTCCTATATGGATTCTTATGGTTTATTAGTAACATTTGCTAAAATGTTAAATAAAAATGCTGAAGGAAAAAATATAGTTCTACATTAAACACAACAATGCGCTTTATGGGCACACTTTAAAAAAGTGTTAAATGAGGATTACCCCTGCACATCCATACTGAAGTCAGGGTACCTCATTTTGTGGCTTACAGAGATGTTTTGCCACCCACCCACTACCAACAAAAATGCAGAATCAGCCACGTGTTCCCCTCTTTCCTTACCTAGTCATTGTTCTACTGTTAGGGATAAATGACCTCTGGCAGAAGTGGACAATTCCACTGTAGTCAACATAATTGCATCCGCAATGCATTTGGCTCTCACACTGGGCCCAAAATCAGCAAGCTAATGTACCTACCATGGTAGGCAACAGAGAAATTTCCTTGTGCTTTCTTTTGATTCAGACAATGGGTTTCAATGAAATGGACTCTCATGAGGACTATAAAAACAGAGAGTCCGTGTATCTACATATGGCACTTCCATTTTATTATACAATGTAGATAATGAACAAAAAAGAGTCCAAGGAGCAGATGACCACTCTACTCTGTAGAAAATGTTTGAACTAATTGAAATCAGGCTAAACAAAGATAAATAACGCTTTAATTAGGATCTAGACTGATTGCAGGGTATCCAGGTTTCAGAAATAAAACATAATAAAGATAATTAATAACAACGTTTTAGTATATTTTTACATTTTCAAAACAACATACATTCTACATATGTAATCCTTATTGCTTCTGTTCTCATTTTACAAAAGGAAAAGTAAGGATTACATATGTAGAATGTATGTTGTTTTGAAAATGTAAAAATATACTAAAACGTTGTTATTAATTGTCTTTATTATGTTTTATTTCTTACACAGAGTTATGGCTAACTTGCCCACAGCAGTGGCAGATCCAGATTAGAAAACAAAAGTTTCTGGCCATATTTTCAACCCCCATATAATTCTCCTGTCAGAAAACACTTGACTATCATCTGCTCTGGGATTGCACATATATCTTCTCTCACCTTTTGAGGTTCTGCATATCTCATCTTGATCCCTCCTTGTCAGTCACATTTCTCCACTTTGACTTTACATTTGAAGTTGAATTAAAAGAGTTTGCGTCCCTTTAATCAGAACTTCCATGCACGAAAGAAATATAGCTCCTAGGGTGTGTTTCCATGCACGAAAGAAATATAGCTCCTAGCGTGTGTCTGGCCTTCTTTCAAAAAAACTTCACCTGCATCTAGACTGCCATCGCGTTCTTTTGAAATTAAATTGAAAGAACGCAATGGTTTTTTCAATATTAGTAAACCTACATTTACGAGGAGGAATGCCTTTTTTCAAAAGAGCTTCTTTGAAAAAAGGCATTCTTGAATGCAAACAGTGCTTTTTTTGAAAGAGAGTGTCCAGATTGCCTGGGTGCTCTTTTTCAAAAAAGCGGATCGCTGCTGCAAAGCGGATCGCTTTTTTTGAAAGTCTTGTGGCTGTCTAGACAATCTCTTTAGAAAGAGGCTTGTAGTCCAGATGTACCCCAAGATGGAACACCCTTATGGGTGTTGTCCTTATGTGTGGCTCTCCTTATGGAGTTTATTCCACTTCTTTCCATTGGGTGGCAGCTTTCTATCTCCCATGGAATCAGCTGCAAGGTCTATACCCCAGCTCTATGCAGACTCCAGGATATTCAGAGGAGATCAAGATCATGTGTATAGATGCTTAGAGCCCCTACACCAGGTCTGTAGCTCTGGGGTCCCCTCTCATACCATTTCCTGGCAACACAGCTTAATTCAGCCCCTGTCCCTGACAGTCTTCCTCCCTAGGGCCCTTCCTATGAGACTGAACAGAAAAGGGATTTTGGCAAAAGGGATTTGAGGGTGGTCAAATATTGGAATAAATTGCCAAGGGAGGTGGTGGAATCTCCCTCTCTGGAGATATTTAAGAACAGGTTAGATAGACATGCTTGGGCCTGCCTTGAGGGCGGGGGGCTGGACTCGATGACCTCTTGAGGTCCCTTCCAGTCCTATTATTCTATGAAAAGTACTTTGGCAAAGGTACCTAAGGCAGAGATTAGGTACTCCCTAGATATTGCATCCTCTCAGGCTTCACCTTGCATTTGTCTCACCACTCCCTCCCACCTTCATAGCCTGAATCCCTTCTTCCTTGGAAATCTGAACCATGCAAAATGGCTTCCTGGTGGTCCTAGGAAAGGGCAATGCTTCTGCAAAGGAACAAAGTGCTGTCCCACTGCCATCTACTGCAGACCTACCCATAAATTTGATAGAGGCCTGAGTTAGCAGAAGAAAACAGAATTTGGATGTTAATAATGTAATAAGTGTATGGGGTGACTCCAAGAATTTGGAAAGTGGTCAAGGGCCACACCCTTCCATATTAACAGAGGAAGCCCCGGGTCTGGGATGGAGGCTGAGTGCAGAAGGGAGCTTACAATAAGGGAAGGGGTTCAGGAGAGGGCGTGGGGGCTGGGATGGAGTTTGGATGAAGGAGGCATTTGTGACCTGATTTAGGGAACCAGGGTACAGGGGTTTGGATTGTGACCTGGGGAAGGGAACTAGGGTGCAGAAAGAG